GCACTCACCTCACTGTATTCACCTCACTGCACTCACCTCACTCCACCTCCTCACTGCATTCATCTCACCTACATCTCCTCACTGCACTCACCTCACTGCACTCATCTCACCCACACCTCCTCACTGCACTCACCTCACTGTATTCACCTCACTGCACTCACCTCACTCCACCTCCTCACTGCACTCATCTCACCTACATCTCCTCACTGCATTCACCTCATTGCACTCTTCTCACTGCACTCACCTCACTGCACTCACATCACCTACACCTCCTCACTGCACTCACCTCACTGCGTTGTACTTGTGTTATCTCTCCCCCACCACACACATACACCCACACACACACACACAGATTGGGTGTTCCCTGCGGGCCAGGCCTGTGCCTCGCCCTGTGGCAGATGGGATCTGCTCTCAGCTCTTCATTCCGCTCGTTACCTGTGCCATCACCAGGCACAGTAGCCGGAGCGTAGACTTCTCTGCCTTACTGACTTCGGGCTTGGGCACAGGATTCGCTTTGGCCAGTGACGTCAGCAGAGGCAGTAAATGCACTTGGCTGGTGTGACTTGCTCCTTGTACTCTCCTGAGAAGACTGTGTCCTGAGGAGCCACTGGTCCAAACAGAACGTGGGGATGTGAAGAGCAGACCTCACCCCAACTCAGAGGCTGGATGCAAACCCAGCGACCCAGAGGCTACACAGCTTCCTGCTGACCTTACCCCCCACCCCCACCCCCGCCTGTGAGTGAGGAGAACGAACACTGGCTGCTGTAGGATGCGGGGGCTGGGGCTGGGGCTGGGAGGATGTCTGTTTTGCAGCATTGTTGACCAAGACATCATTCATCCTGTGTTCCCAAGCCCAGCACAGTTCTGGGCCAAAAAAGGTTTGTTAAGTAAATAAATGAATAAATTCCTTGATTCATTACCTTTGTAGTCTGCTCAAGTCGCCGTCCCTCCTGAGACTTCTGTTAGCTCCTCTTTCCAAAGGGGACAATCATGGTTTCTTTGGAGGGCTGTCGTGTGAGGATTCAGTGGAAGAAGGTGGGCAAAGCTCCTGGCACTCTGTGCTCAGTGACACTCTCCTTCCTCCCTCTCTACTCTTCAAGTGAGCTCTTAGGTTAAAGTGCTCAGGAAGCTGAGAGGGGCTGGGCAGTGGGGAGAAGGAGGAGTTTGCTCACTCTCCAGCCTCTGGGCCCTTGAACTCCAACTGAGGGAACCTCTTTCTCATCCTCCTCTTCCCTCATCTTTGCCCCCAGGATTCTTCCTGGAGTCACTGCCAAGTAGGTCTTCCTGGACCAGAGAAGAGGATTTGCCCCAGACCCCAAGGATTGCCCAGCAACGCCCTGGCCCCCCATGCAGCTGGGCTGCCTGAAACAGGGAGCTCACACTTGCCTCGCGGAGAAGCTGTGTGCAAAGTTTGTCTCCCCTAAACCCCTGCGCTGTGAGGAAGCCCAGGCCAGCCACACAGGAAAGAAGGGGACACGCTGAGGAGTGCAGCCCCTTGGACTTCCCAGCCCTGCCCTGCTGCCAGCGGGCACAGTGGAGTGGCCTCAGCTGATGCCACAAGGAGCCAGGAGCCCTCCAGATCAGCCCCGTCTGATTTATCAGGAGCAATGCGTTTTTGTTGTGCTAAGTCATTACTGTTTTGCTGTAGTTTGTTACGCAGCAGGTAAGTGAAACTCTCCTTTCCTATGATATATACATCATATGATATGTATGTTAAACACTATTACTATTATTTCTATACCATGTGAGAGGAAGTGGCAGAAATCACGGCCCTACACATCTCAGCATGTCTGTCATAAACCAAACATCATCTTACAACACAGTACCGTTATAAAATCCAGGAAATCTAACATGGACACATTATTCATGTGGTTCCTCATTATGTTTTGTCAATTATCTAAGTAATGTCTTTCAGAGTAATATTTTATTTTTCAGTTCCGGGATCCAGCTCAGAATTATTCATTGCATCTAGTGGTTGTATTTGTTATATATGGCTGCATAACAAGTCACCCCAGAATGGAGTGGCTTAAAAAACATCTCACAGTTTCTGTGGGTCAGGAGTCCAGCTGTGGCTGAGCCGGGCTCTTTGATGCAGGGTCCCCCAAGTCTGCACTCCAGATGTGAGCCAGGGCGACAGTGATCTCAAGGTGAAACTGTGGCTGGATCTGTGCGATTGTTGGCGGGACTCAGGTCACTGCAGACTGTTGGCCGGAAGCCCTCGGTGACTTGCTGGCTGTTGGCCAGAGCTCTCTCTCTCTGTTCCTTGAAACATGGGCCTTTCCATGGGGCAACTCACAATTTGGCAACTTGCTTCACCTGATCAAGAGAGTCGAGAAGAGCCAGAGAGAGAATGCTAGCTAGTCAGAAGTCGAGTCTTTTGTAACCTAAATTAGAGTCTTTCGTCATCTCGGCAGTGACGTCCCATCACCTCTGCTGTATTCTACTCATTGAAAGCAGATGCCGGGGTCCAGGCATACTCATGGGGAGGGGATTGTTCAGGACGTAAACGCCAGGAGAGGGGGTGTCATTGGGGACCATCTCAGATTCTGCCATAGCCTTCTTGTCTCCTTCATTTTTTTCTAATCTGAAACTGTTTCTTAAGCCTTTTTCTCTCATGTCTGTGACATTGTCGCTATCGCAGGCCAACTGTTTGGTAAATGTCCCTCCGTTTAGGTTTGTCTGATGTTTCCTCGTGATTAGATCCAGTGATGTGTTTTTTAAAAGTGTGTTTTTATTGATTTTTAGAGAGAGAGGAAGGGAGGAGAGAGAGAACCATTTCTTTTGACTCACAAGCACCCCTCCTGGGGACTGAGCCTGCGGCCTGTGCTGTGTGTCCTGACAGGGAATGGAACCAGCAACCTTTCGGTGCTCAGGACGACGCTCAACCACCTGGGCCACACCGGCCAGGGCAGGTGAGGTGTTTGGCACAGGAAACACCTCAGGCTCAGCGCTATGTTCTTCTCAGCACGTCACATCAGGAGGCACGTGGTGTCCATATAACCATCCTATTCTTAGCGGCTTCACTTTGGATTGCTCCCACATTCTTAACCACTCTACAATTCTGCCTCTGGTCTGGAAAGTTCTTTTAATTTTTCAAACAGGGTAAAAGCAAAAGAAAACAAAACAGAGACCAATTCTCCTTGGCAGAGCAATTTTGGGAAGAAGTTGAACCTAGAAACTAATTTAGGATGAAAGTTTCCCATGTCTTGGATCAGACCTTTACCCTATACCTCTCATTTGCGCCCAGGAAATTCTGACTGTGGGCCCAAGCTTTGGCTGTGAGGCTGGCCTGCAGCTGGGAGAATGAATACCCTCTCCCACTCCTGTTTCTTTCCATTACTCATCCTTCCCCTGGAAAGCCCTGTCCCACCTCTACCTTCTATTCCCTCTCTACCTGAAGAACTCCGTTCCTCTCGTAAGCTCGGGCCTGGGGCCTGCAGCTCCAGGAATAAGGTTGCGGCTCTGCACGGTCCAGGGGCCAGTGGTCCCTGGGGCTGGGCAACATACCTGCTCTGAAATCCGGTCGGAAAGCATGCAGGCTGACTCCGGGACGGAGGCCGGCCCCCTTAGACAGGGCCTGAGGGCAGCCGGGAGATCTGGAGAGAGGGGTTCAGGGAGCTTATTTAGGAGGTGAGCTGTGGTCTGAGTTCCCACCACATCTCTGAGCCCTATAGCGAGTCACGGAACTGTCAGTCACAGCACGGACACGCCCAGCCTGGAGCCCGTGGCCACCCGCCCTCCAGCCCACAGCCTGTGGGCCCAGATAGGGAATAAGGTCCTCTGACTTCAGCCCTCTCCCGCCCCCCCAACCCCCCGTGAGGACCTGCCCCTGCCAAGGCTGGGGTCATGCTCAATTCTGTTTGGGTTTCTCATCAATGAATGTTGAGAATGAGGGGGAGGCAAGTACAGATGTTGAGGTTTCTGCTTTTTTTGGGTGTTCTTATTTCTCCTCTACAGGAAGTGGCTTATTGTGTCTAAATCCAATCAAATGGCAGGATCACTGGCCTTAGGGGGGAGTGGGGGGCCTGAATTATTGGCTCATGCCCTAAGTGTTGGTAAGACTCAGGAGAAAAGCCTCATCAAAGCCTGGGAGGCACGGGCATCGCCAGGGTTCAGACAAGTAGGCGGGAGGCTAGGTTTGTGTCCCAGTTCCTAGCCCTTTACCAGGTTCCTGGTGAAGCCAGCCCTGGGCCCCAGAGACTGCGTGCCAGCTGGGCACTGGGGCCTCACCCCTCCAGCAGCCCCCAGTGGGAGGCGCCAGCTGCCCCAGGATCTGAAGATTACTGGATGGGGGCTCCAGCCTGCCCCAAGGGACCACCTCTCACTTCCCGGGGTCAGAGAGGGGTGCTATGGTCTTTGGGAGCCTGGGGGGGCCCGTCACTGGACCCTCCTGCGCAGAGATGGTGGAGAGCCCACGCAGCCAGAGGGGTCTCTCGCAGGAGGCAAGCCACGAGATCTCCACGCCGCCTCTCCCCACACCCACCCAGCCACCCCCCCAGCCACCCCTCTCTGGGAGGGGGTGGGGATCCAAGCGGCCCCAAGCGAGTCCCCCGGGAGGGGCGGGCCGAGGGGCAGCGCCGCCGGAACAAAGGCCCATAGCGGGGTCCCGGAGAGCCAGGCTCCCCGGGGGCGGGGGCGGACCCCTCCCCACTCAGCTCCGCCCTCTCCCCTCCTCCTTCCACCGAGGCCCGGCCGGCGCGGCCCGCGCTGCGCCAAGTTCGCCAGCGGCTCCCAAGTTTGGGTGGGAGCTGGGTGGGGTGAGGAAGAGGAGGAGGAGGAGGGGGCTCCTGGGCGCCTTGGTCGCGGTTCAGGAATCCGCCGCCGCCAGCCGCTCGCCCGCCCGGGCCGGCGGGGAGAGGACGGACGCCGGGCAGCCCCGCTCCCCGCTCCCTCGGTGGGCAGCACGGCGCCCGCCTGGCGCCTCTTCCCGCCCGGCCGGCCGTGCGAGCGAACCCGCGGGGCCGGGCCGCGCCGCCCCCTCCGCTCCCCGGGGAGGGCGCCGGGCCCCGGGGAGCTGGTTCCGCCGGGACCGGGACGAAGTTGCGAGCGGATGCTGCGGACGCCCGAGCCCAGCCCCAGCGGCGGGGAGCGGGGCCGCCGCCGGAGGAGGCTCGGCGGCTGCGGTGAGTAGGACCCCGCGTCCCGGAGCCGCCTCGGGGCCCGGGGAGGCCGCCGCCGGCCGCGCGCCCCCCCGCCCCGGCCCGGGCGCGCGCGCCGAACTTGGGAGGAAGGAGGGGCGCTCCCGGCCCGGGGGGAACTCCACGCAGGCACCCGCCGCCGCCGGGCTCGCTGCTCGGGCTCACAGCGGCCGGGGACCCGCCGCCCGTCACCAGCCGCATCCCCGCGCGCACGGGCTCCGAGCGGCGCCACGCCGGCCGGGCGCGGGGCGCGGACCCCCGGGCACCATCCCGGGAGCGCGCGGCGGCTGGATCCTCGCACCCAGCGTGTCCTCCTCTTCCTGCCCCCCAATAACGCCGCGGTCTTTGTCTGCAGCCCCCCACTGAGCAGTCCCCCCCAAAGACACGGGCCTGGGGAGGACTGTCTTGTCTTCGGGAAGTCCTGGCCGGGACCCGGAGGCCCAGGAGCGGGAGGGGAAACCAGACATCCCGGGGCGTCCGGGCGTCGGGGCGATGTGTCTGGTGTGCGCGGCCCTCCCGGAGGCGAGGCCGGGACGGAGCGAGTGATTCACGGCTCGGACCTGGCGGCTGGGTCTGTGCTCCGGGCGGAGAGGCTGCCAGACCGGTGCCGAGCGGGACGTCCCCGCCGGGCGGCGGCGGCGGTGACAGGCCCTGCGAGGGGAGCTCTGGCTCCTATTCCCCCGGCGGATGTGCTTCCTCGGAGGGACTTTCCCCCGGGGACGACTGACTGAGGGGATTGCAGGCCTCCGTGCGGCCGTGTAAAACCCAGCGGGGTGATGGAAGGTCCCGAGGTCCAGGAGAAGCCAGGCTGGTCCTGGAGCCTGCCTTCTTTTCATGGCATCTGGAGCTGTGCTGTCCCGAGGCCCCCGGGTGCTGCCAGGCCTGCCCTGGGCCAGCACGGTGCCGGGCGCGTGGTGGGCACTCCAGAAGTGGCTGACAAAGAATGACAGCAGCAGTGTCTCCTGAGGGCGCACCAGGAGCCATGCTGGGGCCTCTGCGGGCTGGGCCTGGGCTTCTTGCAGAGGAGGGTCCGCAGGGGTCCCGGGAGCGCACACACACACACACACACACACACACCCGCTCTGTCTGGGGCAGTGGCTCCAGCAGCTTGTTCCGTGGTGCCCTGGGGGCTGGCATCGGGACTTGTTTCACCATTGGCATCTGCTCCCCGGAGGGCAGCAGGAACCTTCATTTCTGCAGCTGGCTCAGCTGCGGGCGGGCACTTCCCCCAGGACTAGGGGGGCTGCTGGAGACGGGCCTTGCGAAGGGTCTCCCCGCAGGGCCCGGCTGTGTGGGGCAGCAGGTGGCGGGGCGGTCTCCGTCCCCACACGGAGCACTCAGTGGGTGCTCTGCCAGCTGGCATCAACGGCCCCGAAGAGCAACAACAACTCATGTTCTTGGAACTGTGATTGCAAGCGGGAAAGACTGCAGGAGGGAACGGTTCTCCCTGGCACGGGACTGGGAGTGTGCAAGTATGGGGGCTCTGTGATTGCGGAGAAGAGTGTCACTACCCCATCCGCCCCCGTCCGCCCCCGTCCCTTTGTGACTCGGTTCAGAGGACTTCGGCCCCAGGCCAGAGGCGTGACCTGGGCTTGGCCACCCCCAATGCAGGAGGGACGCTGCAGCCAGACCCTTCCCAGTGTCCCCCGCCCCCCTTCACCGTGTCTTCTGTGAATCAGGGGCTCTCCATACACTTTCTCACTGCGTGCACCCTGTGAGGTTAGCGTTTATCTATCACTCCCTTAGAGACTCGGAGGCGGAGGCTCAGGAGAGTTAAAGAGTGTAACTCGTTCAAGGTCACACACCCGGTGAGGGGCAGAGCCAGGACTGAGCCACGGCAGTCTGACTCTGGACCCAGGCTCTGTCCCTCCCTCACGCCCGGCCGTTTCCAAGTCCCCACTGGCTCTCCATGGCAGCAGGGAGGCAACGGTGACCGGACCAGCACGGCCTGGGCCTCTGCCCGCGGCCTCTTTTCCCCTGGCTGCACCGCGGCTCCGGGAAGCTCAGGCTGGGGCACCGGGCTGCTGGAGCGGTCCCTGTGGATCTGGAGTCAGGAAAAGGGGTGGGGGGGAGGGCTTAGGAGTGATTTCAGGGAGACGCTGCGGCCATTCCAGCGAGAGGTGATCCGAAGCTTCTCTGAGACGTGGGGGCAAAGCTGCCACACGTCCCAAGCTTGGGTTTGGGGAAGCCGCCAGGGGAGCGTGCTCAGACGGATCCTGACATTCCTTTCCCTCGTGAGGACAGAAAGCCGGCCCACAGGGAGATCCGCCCTCCCGGCCACGGCCTGCCGCCCCTCCCGCGGTGAATGTAAAGGGACCGTCACTGCTGTCCTTGCCCCCACCCAGGGCCCGCAGCGCTGGGCTCCTCTGTGGCATCTGAGCCTCCGCAGAGCCCGGCAGCGGGGGTAGGAGGTGGGGGGTAGGAGGCTCGCCTGGTCCCCAGTTGCTGCTTTCTCACACAGACCCCTCGGAGGGACAGGGGTTCCTGTCTCCACATGAGAGACGAGGAAACGAGGCAATGGGTGTCCAAGACCCCAGCACTCAGGAACTGCCAGCCATGCAGCCTGTAGGGGCGGCCGTGTGTTCCGTCTGCTGTATTCTGTGCCCGGAGGGCTGAGCAGGATGGCCCTGCTGGGACAGGCTCCTCATTGTTCTGCCCAAAAGCCTCCGGTGCCGGTTTGCACGGTGTGGGAAAAGCTGGCACCTTAGGCCAGGACCCCTGCCCAGGCCCTGGAAGGCCACCTGGGTGCGTCCGGAGAACCTTCCCAGTGCCTGAGCCCCTCTCCCCACGCCCCTGCCGAGGGGACCTCTGTCCAGGGTGGGCGTTGGAAGACGGGGTGTGGGAGAAGCTGCCCCACCCGAGGGCCAGGAACCCCTGGCTCCGTCCCAGTGCCTGACACATCCAAGTACTTGGGAATGACGCCAGATAATAGGGGAAGGCCAGGGCCAGGCCATGAGCCCTCTGCTGAGGGAAATCTTAGTCAGAGGGAGCATTCAGAGAGGTCTCTGCCCTTCATGAAGTCACACAGGAGGAGCGGAGACAGCTCTCCTTTCAGTCCTTAAATAGAAAGACTTGTCCTGTCTCTTCTACGCCACTCGGCCTGCCCTGAGCGTGTGGGTGCCACAGCTGGGCGTGGGGTGGTCCCTGACTGACTGGACCACCAGTCTGTGCTTGAAGATGGAACCCCTGTCTCCAGGGCCTCAAATCTGGTTGCTCCTGCACCCCTCCACCCCCACCCACCCTCACCCACCCACCCCCGGTGTGAAGGAAAGGGCGGGCAGGCCAGGGAGCCCTGACCAGCGGTAATTTCATGTCTCCAGCCCCCATCCCTTCCTCTCTGTGCCCTCCTTCCTGCCCTTCTCCCCACTCAGCTGGCTTGTGCTGAGGGGCTGTGGGTTTTCTGGGCCCGGGAAATGTACCGCCGGGGTTCCCGAGGGCTCTCTGAAAGGGATTTGGAGGAAAAGTGTGGAAAATAAACAAGCCAGTGCCCAGCTCAGCCTCTCCTGGCTGCCACGAGTAAACACCGTGGCAGAAGCCAGCCTGCAGGCCGCTTTGGCCTCCCCTGCCCGGCCTACACCTGGCTCCCTGGCCGCCTCCCCAGCTCCCTCCTTCCTGCCCCTCCCCGCCCGGCCCCTCCTCCTGCCTCTGGGAGCCTGAAAAGTCAGGGAGCACACCCACCGCCGGAGTCCGGGTGCTTCGGGTGCTGGTGCTGGTGCTGGTGCTCTGTGGGCCCCGGGGCTGCGGGCGCTGGCACGCTGGAGGCCGGCGGTGGAGCCTGCGGAGAGAAGACGGGGTGCTGTGGCTCCCCCTGCTCCGTCTGAGTAAGTCTCCCCGCCGCCGCCCCGCTCAGCCAGGCCCAGGGTGCGCTCCCGGTTGGCGAGTTTGACTGTGATGATGGAGAACGGTGGGGGCTTTTTCAAGTTCTGTGAGGAAGCTTTGGGTCTTACACGTCTGTGTAGAGTCACTGGGCCCAAGCTGGTTCTCCTCGTGGTGTCCCTCCAAGGTGGGGCTTGCGTGTGAAGAAACCCTCAGAACCCCCACATTGACGTTGTCAGGCTTCCCGGACTCCCTAGCATGTCAGGTTCTGTGCTTTTGACCCGAGTCCTAGCAGCTGAGGGTGGTGGTGGGGTGGCTGTGGAATAGGGAGCAAATGTGTGAGAACTTCACAATTAATTCAACTGCCCACTCCAGACCCCAGCTCCCAGCGAGCCAGGGCTCTGGGGTGGGGCAGTCCCCTGGCGGGGTGGCCTCGGAGGGCCCCGTCAGACCCAGGGCGTGGCTAAGGGGCCTCCCCAGGGGTGTGCTAAGCCGAAACAGCTGGATCTGGGGAGCGGGTGCTGCCTCTGGGTGGGAGTCCTTTGTGCTGCTGCTGCCAGGCTGCTAAGAGGGAACTTGGGGGGCGGGGGGAGCCCCATTGTTGCAGCCTTGGTGGTAGAGAGGCTGTACACCCACATACTCACAGGCCATCACACACATTGTCATGGGGTGAAATACATACATTCACACTACCCCCCCATACACACACACACACACACACTATTTTCTATCAACAGCCAGGCACATTACATACTGAAACAGCTTTTGTAGGCACAAGAGTACACACACACACACACACACACACACACACACACACACACACAGGGAACCCTCATGCCAAAGCACAAATTATGTAATGACTCAGAGCACATAAGCCAAAGCCAGAGTGCTGCTTCGGAGCTATGTAACGTGGGTAAGTTCCTTAACCTCTCTGGGCCTAAGCTTCCTAGCTGGCGGGAGGGGTATGGTAATACGTCATAGGCCCTAGGGCTACAAGTGAATTACTGTCTGGGAGGAGCTCAGACCTGTGCCCGCACACAGTGAGAGGCAGGCTTCCGATGAACATTGTTTTCTTTTCTTTTTTTTAAATATATTTTATTGATTTTATACAGAGAGGAAGAGAGAGGGGTAGAGAGCTAGAAACATCGATGAGTGAGAATCATCGATCAGCTGCCTCTTGCACATCCCCAGTAGGGGGTGTGCCCGCAACCAATGTACATGCCCTTGACCGGAATCGAACCCGGGACCTTTCAGTCCCCAAGCCGACGCTCTATCCACTGAGCCAAACCCGTTTCGGCTTTTCTGAGAAGGCTCCCAGCTGAGCCAGTTATATCCTCCCCCCCCCCTCCCCCCCCCCACACACACACTGCCCTGCGCTCCATGGCCCCGTGTGTGGGCACGTCTGTGCACACATGCCCTGCGCAGGCCTGTGCCCGCGAGCCCACACGGCCACCTGAGGCATTTGGCCTGAGCTCCCCTCTTCCCGCCCCCACCCCCCTTCCTTTCAGCCGCCTCGCCGTCTGCAGGGTTCTGGAAAGTGCTAACATGTCTGAGCGCTATCTGGGAAATATTTTGAAAACAATATTTCCTCAGATAGCAAGGAATTTCACAACTCCGAGTGGGCAGCAGGCAGGCAGGCGGGGGAGGCAGGGTGTGGCGGGTGAGGGGTGCCCACAGCTGTGAGGGGTGCCAGCTCTCCTCCGGAGAAGCCCCGTGGCTGTGGGGCTCAGACAGACACGCCCGCAGAGGCCCCGGGATCGGGCCGTGGAGCCTGTGAGTCAGGCACCCCGGCCACCGTGTCAGCACCCGGTCCTGTTTCTATCCTGAGGGATCTGCCTTCCTTTCACTGTCCTCGCCCGTGCCACCTGTGCGGCTGCCTAGGGTAAGGTGACCAGACGCCCCGCTTTTAGCGGGACAGTCCCAATTTTTAACAACTTGTCCCGCGTCCCGGGACTTTTTTGAAACACCGCGGGACAAATTGTTAAAAATCGGGACCATCCCGCCAAAAGCAGGATGTCTGGTCACCTTAGCCTAGGAGGAGGGTACACAGGAGCTGGGTGACACAGCTCACAGGCCCGGCGCCATGCTGCACCTTTGGGGGCTGTGCTCGCCACGTTCTCCCGGGAAGCTCCTGAGGGGGGCGCCCTCTTATGGCCACAGTACAGCCGGGCACGCAGAGCCACACGGGCAGGGAAAGCCGCCGCTTCCCACGGCTGGTCAGCGCAAAGCGGGGGACGGGGAGCAGGTCTGAGCCCTGCAGCCTGGCCCCATCAGTGCCCTCCACCTGCCGCGGGACCACCTGGGCCTGTCCTGCCGTGGCTGCCGCCCGGGAGGCCGAATGGTACCCAAGAACTGTTTTAGATTTTATTTCGTAGCTGTGGCCGGGGGCGTGCCCCTGGTTCAGGCCAGGGCGCTCTGGGGAGGCTGGCTCCAGGGGTCCCCGTGGTCCCTGTGGGCACCACAAGTGGATGTCTGAGCCTTGTCCTCCCCGGGCTGGCCTGGGCAGGGCCTTTCTCATAGCACAGCGGCCCCTGATGCAATGCCAGCCAACTGCGGATGGCTGCTCCCCGGGGCAATGGTCTGGCCTAGGAAGTGGCATAGACAGACGGCCAACAACAGGGATTCACATGAATAAGCAGCAACCAGCAGGTCGGGGCCGTTGCAGTGAGACGAGAACCCCCCCTGGAGTTAGCGCCGTGACCCTTAGTCCCCAGCCTCTTCCCTCGCCAGCCCTCGCCGTGGACTCGGTGTTCCAAGTCCCAGACTTCCCAGCCGCTCGTGTCCGCTCTCTGCAGCCTTTCCAGCTGCTGAGAGCTCTCTCCTTCCCCCTTTCCGCGGCCAGCTCCCCTCAGCCTCAGTCTCAGTGTGGATGTGTCCTGAGCGGGTCCACAGCCCTCCTACGGCCGCCTGCTTGGCCCCCTCCTCGCACTTCACGCTCCTGTGTGGCCGCTGCGGGTTTCCCGGCGGCCCCCCACCGGCCTGAGCTCTGGGCGGCCGGACAGTGTCCGCCTTGTTTGCCTGCAGGCCGCGCCGAGCCAGCCTGGGCCCGCAGTGAGCGCGTGTACTGACTGTGGAGCCACGAGTGATGGATGCTCTCTCATCAGTGTTTCTAACTCTCTCTCTCTCCCTCCCTCTCTGTAAAAAAATCAATAAAATATATTTTAAAGTGTTTTAAAGAAAAAAGAAAAGATATTATCCCCTTTTAAAAATGTAGCTAGAAAAGTACAATAAATTGAGGTCAGATCGTAGAGGTCTCTGAATGTCATACTTTCCATTTGCTAAGCACCTGCTGGCTGCCAAGTACTTGACATTCTCACCGAGCCCCACACAACCTAGCAAAGCTATTAGCAATGTCTCCATTTTACAGATGAGGAAACTGAGGCGCAGAGAAGCAGAGTAACCACCCAAGGTCACTCAGCTGAGAGGAACCAGAGGCAGTAATGACACCAGATCTGTCTGGTCTTCCCTCGGGGTGAAGCTTGGACCTGACGGAGGCCGCATGGGGATGTCCGTAGGCTCGGGTTGCAGCCAGGAGCGGTACCCATGGGTCCCTGAGGCGGGGAGGGCAGGAGGTAGCCAGAGAGATGCTGGACAAGGAGACGGGAGGCCCTGCGGCCACAGAACACAGCTCACCATTCAGAGCCCGGGGCAAGCTGCTGAGTCATTCTGGGAAAACATGACGTCACTGAGTCTTGCTGTCTGCTGCCCACCTGCCAGCGTGCCGTCTGTGCTTCTCCTGTGACCTCGTGCCCAAAGTTCTGCAAGGAGACCCTCACACCCCAGGTGGCAGGGCCGGGTCAGCTCCCCGGCTTCTTGTCCTGGGTTCTGCTTCCCAACTTTCCCACCCCTCCTTTCCCTTATGGGGTCCCCACCCCACCCCTACTCCTAAGGCTGGCTGTGGCGGGAGCTCCCGGAAGTTGAAATGGGCATGAAGAGCTTCCAGTAGGGCCTCCATGCCAGGCCCCCAGTGGAATTCTGGGTGCGGCGGGCAGGGCCCGGGAGACCTTGGCTGAGCTGTGGAAGCTGCGTTTCCTTTGGGAATGGTGCCTGCTCTCCTCTCAGTATCCCTTTTTAAAGGGAAAGCCTGGCGGCACTGCGTGCCCAGCGCCAGGTCCCAGTCCTCTGCCTTTCCAGAAGGCACTGCTGAGAATCTGAGAACCCTGCTGTACTAAGCTTCCTCAGGCCGAGTGACTTATCTGCATTCATCCGATGGCATGGGGCAGGCCCATTTTTCAGATGCCAACGCTGAGGCCCAGAGAGGTTAGGCGACTTGTCCAAGGTCACACAGCCAGCATTCAGACCCTCAGCTGCCCAACTCCAGATGTGCCCATGCTCTTAGCCACGTCACCGTGAAGCCACCAGCTCCTCGCAGCAGGTGGAGCTTACCGAACGTGCCTGCCAGACTGTGCCGTGCAGACAGGAAGTGGAGGGCAGCTTCGGCTCCGACTGTGGTCACTGACAGAGCTCCCTGGAGAGTGTGGCTCCCTTCAGGAGGTGGCCGAGTGCTCAGCGTCTTGGCCGTGCACGCCCAGCAGACATGGCCTTTTGCGGGGAGACTCTCCCCTCTGGGGGGAGCACAGGGCTCAGGGGCGCCTGTCCTGTTTGGGGCGGGCCACACCTGAAAAAGGAGCATGAGTCAAGCAAGGGATGCGGGCTGCCACAGCTGCTGCTACAACTCCCCGCCCTCCTGCGGCCGCCCCCAGGAGGGTGTGGCCAGCTCTGCTCTGAGGGAAGGGACAGAGAGGGAGCGAGGGTCACCCCATTTTCCAGGTGAAGACTCCGAGGCTTAGAGAGGTTTTCCAGCTCGCCTAAGCTCCCTGGGCCAGAAAGGGGAGGAACTGAGACACGAGTCTTTCTGCAGAGAGAGAGAGAGAGAGAGAGAGAGAGAGAGAGAGAGAGAGACAGACAGACTGGGGGGAGGAGTTAGCCTGCCCTCTGACCTTGAGCAGTGCAGGCTGGCTGCTCCCAGGCTTGCGTTTCTGATTCATTCTGCAGTGGCCCAGTCGCTGTGTTGAAAAGCAAATGACCCTCTGGGGTGAGAGAAAAGGTCTGATTTCAGTTGGGCCGTGAATCACCATTTTTCCAAAAACACTTTTGAAGCCATAGGGGCGGGCCCTTCCTAAGCTTCCAGTGAGGGTTGGGGGGCAGGTTTCTCCTCCCTCTCCTTCCCCCTCTCCCCCAGTGCCAACCCCACCCTGGTTCTGGCAGTGCCTGCCCTGGAAGGGCCTGGAAGCAGAGGCCTCCATGCTCACCCCCATGTGAAGGCTGCCTTGCTCTCAGTGGACAGGTGCCAGACGCCCAGGGCTCAGAGGGCCTGCAGCCTTCAGGCCCTCATCCCCTTTAATGCCCAGGTCCCATGTGGTTGGCACAACTTCAGAGGCCCTCCCCAAGGCTACCTGGGGACCTCCCAGGACACCAGTCTATGGGGTGGCTCCTCTGGACATGGCCCCCTCAGCCCCAGGTGCCCTCAGGGCTTCGGGGTGGCCACTCCTCGCTCTCAGGAGGGAGGGGACCCGAACCAGTGACTCCCTCCCCCTCAGACCCAGGCTGCCACTGCCGTGGTGGTGTCTGGAGAATGCGAGGTCTCGCAGAGAACGTGGGCTGGCGGCTGCAGGGGCAGTTCTGTGTCTCTCTGCCCCAGGCGCTCCTTCCTGGCCTGGCCTGGCCTCTGCTCACACTCAGATGCCAATCAAGTGACCTGTCCCAAATAAGAGTCTCATCTCAAAGGAACTCTGCCCCTGCTTCCACAGGGAGCAAACTGGCACTGGCTTTTGTTTTTTTCAGTTTGATTCAGTTTTGTAAGATAATACATGCCCACGGAACAAAACCGGAAAGGTACACAAAGACCTATGGTAAAATCTCTGCCCCCCAGGCCTGTCCCAGACACCCAGGTCTCACCACCAGGGCAGCCAGCATCGTCAGCTTCCTGTGTGCACGCTGCTTCCAAACCGTGCAGGTGTAAAACGGTGAAAACCACACCCATGGGCTTCCTGTCCCACCTGCCGCACAGCCGCAGGGTCCGCTCCGCGCAGGGCTTGGTGTGGCCACTGCCCGCGATCACCGCTGAGCAGATGCCGCCTCCCAGGCTGTGCCCTCGTCCCGGCCCCCAGCCTCAGCAGGCACCTCGGACTCCACCCCCATGACAGAGGGGACAGGACCCAGGCCCTCACATCCCTCATGCCCTGCCATCCCAGCAGGCCCAGCGGCTTCCGAGGGTGGCATTCCCTAGGCTTCCGGTTAACGCGGTGTTCCTGGCTGCTCCTCCTTCATTCCCCTCTGGCCTGCTGGGCAGGGCCTGCAGCTGGGGCCTGGCCACGCTGACCTGACCAGCCCATGCTGCCTCTTGGCCAGACTGCATGTCCCAGGTCCCTCTGTGCACATGGTGGTGAGGAGGGACCCCTCCTCACCACCTTGACTAGAATCCTTCTGCATCCTTCTCTCCTTCCTTCCTTCTCTCCTTCCCTAGTTATTTGGTGCTACATAAAGTAAAGTGGAAAGTGATAAGAATGGCCCAAGGTCGGGGAGCGCAGTGCTTGAGATCTGACGTCAGCAGACCCTGCCCTTCACGTTCCTGCTTGCACCTCTAGGTCCTGTGGGCGACCTCCGGCAGGTGGCTGAGCTTTTGGGGCCCTCCCTTTCTCCTCTGAATCACCTCAGAGAGGGCGGTGGTGAGGATGCAGGTGTGAGAACTGAGGGGGTGCAAAAGGGTCCTAGGAGGAGAGGTGTCAGATGTGGGGGAAAGAGGGGGGCCGTGTTCCCCTGGGGAATGGATCATGGCCAAGGAGGGCTCTGGGCACAGGTGGGTGTGCCCTCAGCCTTGGGTAGAATGTGGCCGGGCCTGGGTGGGGGAAAGGTGGCCCTGGGGCTTCCTTCCCTCTTCTGTGTCTCCACACAATGATGGGCCCTCAGTTTTGTTTTGTTTTTCAGTAATGGCTGTTGTTTGTATAACAACGATAGATGCTTAGTGTGTAAAACTCAAGTAAAAGGGATAAATGCAGAGAAGAAAGCAACAAGTCACCCTTCAATCTACCACCCCGTTGTAGCAGGTGCGTCACTCGGCCCACACCCCTCTCCAGGTACAGACGCGGAGAGGAGGAGCGGCGGAGGGACACAGTTTTATAAACACAGGGGGTGTACGATTTCACCTGCATGCAGGCCCGCTGCAGAGGCCTCGGCCTGAGGGCAGCCCCTCTCACCTGTTGCTGCCTACATGAGCACGTCCGTGAGCAGGGAATTCACCCCACGGTCTTTCAAACCTCCTGATCCAGGCACATTTAAAGGGGAGCTGGTTGACATTAGTTCTCT